CTGTAGCTTGAATCTCGGCGTGTCGCAATGACGCTTTGTTCTTAATGGCCCCAACCTTTTACCAACAGTTTCTCAGGGAGTTTGACCTTTGACCACCTCTTGCATGTGTTTGGCACTGTTTGGAACAAAGGATTTGCGACTCGTGCCTGGCAGCTTCTGGGGCTAGCGTCTCTGAGGAAATGAACTATAGGAATATTAGTGACAGTGCTGCGTGGCCTCATACGGTGATTGACCACCACACCTACCTACGTCTTGATGAAACCATCAGCCCATGGGCCTGTATTGAAGGCTTTCAGATCGAAAACGTATCCTTTGACATTCTGCACAACCTCTTCTTGGGAACTGCGCGTGATCTTGTGGCATCAGCCATTAGTGTGCTTATTCGCCAACATGTGTATGACCATGTCGAGGGAAACGCAGAGTCCATATTGGGGTATATTCAAAGAGAGATGGCTCGAGATTGCAAGAGCTTTGGGTCTTTGAGTTCAAATTCAGCTCTGTTTTCGTGTGTGTGTGTGTGTTTGGCCATTGGAAAGGGTGCCCAAAGCCGGGTTTCTTTGCAAGTGCTCATTCTGTTGCACTCCTGTGCTCTGTGCAGCTCAGGCTTTACATGCCGAAGAAGCCTGCGTTATCTGAAGCTGCCTTGAATTTCGGTGAATACCCTGAGCTGTCTGGCAAGTTCAAGGCGGCGCACGTGAAACTGCTTTTGTTTTGGTTTGCTCGAAAGACCCAAGAAGTTGCTGACGCTGCGCAAGAGGTTTCTTTGCTGATGTTGTGAAACCCATGCCCAATGCATAGACATGCCACAATCCTTTTGCTTAGGGTCTCAAAGGTTTGTACCAACTTTAGGTGGGTGTTGTTCTTTCCAGTCCGCAAAACCTTTTGATGGGGACCTCACAAAGACCCTTTTGTTATGGGAGGGCACCGCGCCAAATCAGGACCGTGTATTGCAAGCCCTGGCCACATGTTGCTACGCAATTCACAGGTTTGTCGACATTTTGGACCACGCTGACCTGATTGTAGACCGGGATTCAGGGGAACTGTCGCTTCTACACACCAGAGCCTATACTTGGCTTTCCGCGTGTTACTTGAACCGGCGGATCATGCTTTTCAAGATCCGGCCAAAGTTTCATTACCTGTGGCATCAGGCTGTTACCCTCAAGACCTGGCGTATTAACGTTGGTGTTTTCGCGAATTGGGACGAGGAGGCACTGCTTGGAAAAGTTAAATTCATTGCAGTGGCCTGTCACGGCCGCACTGTTACTCAACGTGTTTTTGAGAGGTATCTGTTGGTGTTTGCCTTGACGATCCACAGGCATTCTGAACTGGAAGCCTTGAGCTGACTCGAGCTAGGATTGGGTTTTGATAACTGTTTTGAGTGAAGTTTTGAGACATGTTTGTATGGGAAAAAGTATATCTGAGATATGTTTAGAGAACAACTATGTGTTATTTCTGCCCAGTCCATGGGGAACCGCTTGCGGGGAGGAAGTCGCAAGCTCGCATCGCTCGGACCGGAGCCTTGCGCCAGTCCATGGCCAAAAAGGCTGCGTACTATGGCTTAGCAGCTAGGCCTTTTCCAAAAGTTGGTTGCCCTTGTATCCTTCTATCTCCCCCAAGTTGTTTGAAAGATTATGTGCAATCGCAATGCTTTTGAAAATGGCCTAGCTCAAACAGAGTGGGGCGCAACCCGGACACTGTGGTTGAGCATGTTGCGTGTGTGTGTTTGTGTGTTTGTGTACCCCTGTGTGTTTTTCTATTTTCTTTTGTGCGCTCAAAAAAGGGAAACCCTTTAGGCCTACAAACCTTGTGTGTGCCCGCGGGTTGACCTGTGCAATGCCTGCTGAAGGGAGAGGGCGAGATGCGAGCGAACTTTGACAAATAGCTTTGCCACAAAGCTTTGCAAAAAAAATGGTCTGCAAGAAATGTCTTGGCCTCCTATAGGGGCCCACCAAGTGGGTGGTAGTGGAGCGTAGATTGAGAGGTTTGGGATAGGCGACGTGTGTCACCCCTGCCTACGGGAAAAATGTGTCTGCGCGCGTGTGCTGTTGAACATATACGCATACACGCCTGCACCGTTTCACGGAAGCGACAGCGTTTGCAGTGACACGCGCCGTGT